TATATTTAATTTTTAAATTAATAATTCATGATTATTTTATTTTCATGGTGTTTTCTATAAAAGAAAAAATAAAAATTTGAGTTACTGCCAAATAACATTTATCAGGTAATACTCTAAACTACTAATATTTATTATGATAAATGACAAAATATTTAATTTATTATTTTTTTATAAGAGACGGATAACGTTATTATTCATAAATAAAATATAAACTAAATTTAATTATAGAATATTATATAGTTCAAAAAAATACAGACTGCATTATGAATATATAATAAATAATTCAGATTACCATTTTTTTAAAATGATAAATAGTTCTGTACCATGATAAATCTAAATTATGAGAGTTATTTCTTTCATATAGAATAATATCAGGGAATGTGTAGCCAAGGTGATAAAAGAAATTTGATCAGAAATGATAGCAGTCATCATCTCTGTTTCATTTATTCATACAAACATTTGCTCTTACAAAATAATATATGGAATAATTAACATAATTGGATTATGGCAGGTAGTCTCCAAGGCTTTTTGTTTGTAGAATTTCACTACACATGTTTATATAAACAATTTAATTTTAAAATAAAAAAAGAAGAAAAAATGATTGAATGATTAACATAGGGAAAAGAGATATTTTATTTATAAGTACTTCATAAATAAAATATGAGATATTTTATTATGGGATAGCAAAAGTTTTAGATATTTCTGTTGTTTATAGAATTACCTAAGAAATATTTAAAGATGTAAGGTATTAGTTTTAATTTAATGAGAGAGGTTTTAAAGGAGATAAATTAAAAACAAATATAACATTTTTAGATTTTATTTTTGAGAATAAAATGGTGCTAATAAGCATGACAAAGTATTAGCTTTGTGTATATATTTACAGCAATTTACAGCAAGCAAAACATTTTACCTGAGTTTAATCCAATACACATAAAAATAGGCTTTTAGAAGATTAATTTATAGATTTTCTTTCAGTTTGTAAATCAAATCCTATCAACTAACACCTCAGCATATTGACTCATTTGATAAAAGAAACTTTCATATAACTTTTATTTTATTAAAAATGTTATTTATGTAGATTGTTTATCAATAAAAAAAATAGGAAAAATAAAAATGAAGTATATTCTCAGTTACATATTGGTTTATATTTAGACCGGACTTTTNGACTGCATTATGAATATATAATAAATAATTCAGATTACCATTTTTTTAAAATGATAAATAGTTCTGTACCATGATAAATCTAAATTATGAGAGTTATTTCTTTCATATAGAATAATATCAGGGAATGTGTAGCCAAGGTGATAAAAGAAATTTGATCAGAAATGATAGCAGTCATCATCTCTGTTTCATTTATTCATACAAACATTTGCTCTTACAAAATAATATATGGAATAATTAACATAATTGGATTATGGCAGGTAGTCTCCAAGGCTTTTTGTTTGTAGAATTTCACTACACATGTTTATATAAACAATTTAATTTTAAAATAAAAAAGAAGAAAAAATGATTGAATGATTAACATAGGGAAAATAGATATTTTATTTATAAGTTCTTCATAAATAAAATATGAGATATTTTATTATGGGATAGCAAAAGTTTTAGATATTTCTGTTGTTTATAGAATTACCTAAGAAATATTTAAAGATGTAAGGTATTAGTTTTAATTTAATGAGAGAGGTTTTAAAGGAGATAAATTAAAAACAAATATAACATTTTTAGATTTTATTTTTGAGAATAAAATGGTGCTAATAAGCATGACAAAGTATTAACTTTGTGTATATATTTACAGCAATTTACAGCAAGCAAAACATTTTACCTGAGTTTAATCCAATACACATAAAAATAGGCTTTTAGAAGATTAATTTATAGATTTTCTTTCAGTTTGTAAATCAAATCCTATCAACTAACACCTCAGCATATTGACTCATTTGATAAAAGAAACTTTCATATAACTTTTATTTTATTAAAAATGTTATTTATGTAGATTGTTTATCAATAAAAAAAATAGGAAAAATAAAAATGAAGTATATTCTCAGTTACATATTGGTTTATATTTAGACCGGACTTTTGGATATGTTTGTTTTATAAAATTAATTCTATATCAGGTGAATAAAATCTCAGGCAAATCTGTTATGATTTATAAAATATTTATTTTATAAACAAGCCAATAATATTAATTCAGTGTTTTAGTCAAAGAAGTTTATAAGCCTAAAATTAGAATTATTCTTTGTGAAGCACAGATCTATCCATATCTGATTTTAATTTTAAAAATTTAAACAGGCAATGAACCATAATCAATAAAATATAAAATAATAAAATTTTGATTTAATCAATTTTCTTATAATATGCATGGTTCAAATTCAATTCATATCCTTATAATTTATCATGAATAATTTGAGTTGAGACATCTCTCGTCCATGCTGACACCTCTTCAATTTTCACTGATTTAAGTTGCTTATAAAAGTTTTTAATGAGAATAAAATATTGATAAAAATTGGAAAAATTAATTATTTCAATTATTAGTCATAGAATTAATTTAAATTTAATTGCTTTTCAAAATTTCTTTATGAATCCCTTAATAATCCTTGACTTAGCCATAACTTAAAAATGCTCCTTTTCCTGAAAAACTGTTCCTTTATGTAATCTTATAATTTTTTTATGTTGAATTTTATGGATTTATCCATCTGTAAATAATGGCCAATTTTATATAAATTTTAATTATTATTTATCAAGGTAATTTAAAGTATTTTAATTTAAGTTGTAAAACAATAAAACAAATACTGAACTTTGTTTTATATAGCAAATTTTAAAATATTATTTCCAATTTTGACAAAAGAAAACATACTCCAAGTAATTTTAATCTTTATTTTCAGCCATTAATCTTTAGTTAAAAAAAAATAGTAATTTAAATTAGGCATGTAATCTATAAATAAATCTAATAAATTAATCACATTTATAGATTATTAAAAAAATAGAACTGCATCAAAGAAAAATAAAATATATTCTATACCACTAATTTAAGAGACAAATCTAATCACAGATTAGAATTAAATCCCATTCTGTGAATTTAATAATCACTAATTAACTATTTCCAAATGACAATTTATAGACTGTTGTAATGTTACTATAAACTTATTGTTTAGAGTATATTTAGGTATATAAAATAGATGATAATAAAGTCTGTAGAAAAATAACAGTTAGGTTTAAATTTATTGTAGACTTAAACATTATAATTGGATTAAGATAAATTTTGGGATTCATCATCATAATTTTAAAAGAAAATAAATAACTGATTTAATAAAATATATTTATTTATCTGAAACGGTAATTTGCTTTGATCTAATGCTAAAAAAAATTTGAGATAAATAAAATATGCCAGCTTTTTACAAAAATATATGGTTCTTCCATATTCCTAGGTCATCCAAATGACTGTGAAATATATCAATTTACTACTATAAGGAATCAAAAAGTGCCCACAAAGCAAAAAGAGTTTAAAAAAAGGAGGCTCTCGGTTCAAATTCAATTCATATCCTTATAATTTATCATGAATAATTTGAGTTGAGACATCTCTCGTCCATGCTGACCAATTCCATTGTGTGTCAAATCCTCCTGCAATGGATGTAATTGGGGTAGCTTTAACGTGTGTTGCATTGCGTTAACTAATCAATCAATTTGTTACCTGTGGCAGGACGAGATGAAAGCCATTGAAATTTCCATCGGTGGTAGATTTGCATGGATTTTCTGTTTCATTCTGAATCCAAACCTTACATTGTTTATTATGTATAAAAGAAATAAAGCGAAACTAATTAGACTCAATTGACAGTTGCATCTTAATTAATCAGACCCTAAAAAATTGAAAATTATTATAAAATTAATATAAAATATTTACATAATTTGCATTAGTTTTTAAAAGAATCCAAGCTCCATGTTATAGCTTTTACATCATTGAGTGATTTTAACCTTCTGAAAAATTTGATAGATCCAATTAGGAAATCTAATTAGAGTTCAACTTTTTAATTCAAAGAAATAATTACACGGTATATTTATAGTAGATTCAAATTAAACAACTATTTTATTTAAAAATTTCTATTTTATTACATTTATGATTACATTTAAATTGAATAAAATGTTTATACATTGCAAATTGTTGCTGGAAGCACAGTTAGCAAGAAAAAATCCAAGAATTAAGATTATATTTACATTTCTATGAAAATTCTTTAGTCTTTTATCTAATAACCTTTATTTTTAATTAGCAAATAATTTTCATATTTAATTCTAGAGTTATTACTGTAACATTTCTTAGAAAATATTTCATAGTAGATTCAAATTAAACAACTATTTTATTTAAAAATTTCTATTTTATTACATTTATGATTACATTTAAATTGTAAAAATGTTTATACATTGCAAATTGTTGCTGGAAGCACAGTTAGCAAGAAAAAATCC